TACATATGTTTACATATGGGTGTTCCATTAACAATATTCTCTTTCAGAAGCCAGATGTCATGGAAGCAACATATTTTATAAATGATTGGCAAAATAAAGCAGCAGATAAAATAATACTTCACAGTGATTTCCATTAACATCTTCACAGTTTTGCTTTTTCAAGTGGATGTCACCAGTGTTACCTGAACTAAGTACAGGCAATATATTGCAAACATCATTATGATGGTGATTATACAGATTTTTATGTTGAATACCACATACAACTTAGTACAGACCAGTGTACTTTCTCTTAAACAAATGACTGAATGCATGTTGTATATTAAATATTAGAATTGAACACAATTTTTTACAACAAATAGTAAATTTGCATTTTTGGGGCAACAAAACTATTCACAATCTGGGCCAAATTCAGAAAATGGTTTCAGCTAAAAAAATAAGGATTTTTAAAAATATTTTTATCATGCTGAAACAAAACATTTTGACTTTTCATTTTGAAATTTAATTATTTTGTAAAGTGTGAAAAATGCCCCAAAATGATGGAAAAGCATCTGGGCCAAATTTGAGTGGAACTGTGACTCCATTTGGCAGGTTGGAACAGGGAGCCACTGCTGCAGGACAAGTGTGGGATAGGGTTCCCCCATCACTAGGGCTGCCCCTCCGCATGGCTGAGAGAAGTGTATGTAAGCTAATGGCTCAGTGATGCATTTGATTACTCCTAATTATTGCTTTTTATAAACAGATGGAGAGGGAATAAACATGAACAAATGGGCATAAGCTGGCTATAAATAAATTCAGGCTTGAAATTAGAAAAAGGGTTCTAACCATCACAGGAATAAGGTTTTGGAACAGATTCCCTATTGGAATTGCTGGGGCAAACAACTTAATTCGTTTTAAGGGAGAACTGAATAATTGTTAGAATCCTTGAAATGAATAAAACATAAAAAAATCACTGATCAGAAAAGAAATTTCTTATATGCTGATACCCGCTACAGAAACAGCAGAGAAACTGAGAAAACATCTTGATTGTCTGTATGACAAGAGTATGATAGAAATAAGAGGGTCAGACCTCTTCCATAATCACTGACAAGCAGGTTTAAAACTGAGATCATTGGGTGGGACCTCAGAATTTTCTGAACCCATAAAGAACTACCAGAGACTTAGACTAGCCGTGTGACCAACTCTCCTCTATCCTAAGAGTAACTAGGATTGAGCAGAAGCTGCGAGATTTAATTTCAGAGACTGAATGTTTTTTAATATTTTTAGTATATTAGTAACTGAAAGTTACCTTGCTGAATCTGTACTCTTTCTAATGAGACTTCAAGGAACCATATCTTGTATTTCAACTAAGTGACTCTAGATGCTTGTTATTTGTTTTTAAATCAAAATAAATTAGCCTCAGAACACCTCAAACAATAACTCTAGTCCATTCCTTTTGATGTCCCTTTTCAAATTAAATACTAGAAATAGCAGGGAGCACATTCTTAAGATTGCCTTAAGTCAAGGTGCATCTTTATTAACTGGAGAATCACCTAAACTGTGATAAATTATAGATAGATATTAAAGGTCTAATAATAATGATTATAAGTAAATTTAAAAAGAAATCATGGTGATTTATGGTCTTCTATGGTATTGCTGCTGGGCCCCAATGCTGGTCTATGTTAAGCACTTGCAAGACTGCATATGTATTTTGTGTTGAGTAAATAACCAGAACATTTGGTATATAAAACTATGGATTAGAGATCCACTAGAAGATTTATTTGGCATTGCTCAGGTCCTTAACTCTAATTCTGGGATTGGTCTGGGAATGACGGAGTCAGTATGCAGGCTGCCCTGTGGAGAGGACACCACCCCAGCCTTCTCTCACCACAGCAGCTTGAGGCCAGGTGCCAAAGTGCCTGTCCATGGCCCCTGCAGCTGCAGTGGGCACAGCTAGGGGAGGGATGCATGTCCCCCGGCTGGGGGACAGACAACACACAGACAAATTCTCTAAAATAGATAGTAGATAGTTATCCCTTTCTCCATCCCTGCCCTCTACTGACCCAATAGGGTTATAGCTGCCATGGTCCCCAACTCTGGTCCTTTGCTGCCCCCCTGTCCCTCCTACAGACTCCCTCCCTTTCCATTTTACAAAAAAAAATCAAATTCCAGCACATCCCATTGTCCTGACACAACCAAACCTCCACCTTGCTCTAAATTAGGATTAGAGGAAGTTGCATACCAAATTTGTGGTTCTAGATGATTAAACTTAACCCTAGCTGATTAAAACTGCTGCAGAACTTGGGAACTCCACTAAGTGCAAAGCCTCAGGTTCCAGTCCTGCAGAACTCCTAAGTTCCAAAAGCGTGAAGCCAAATTTCTGTGCTACTGCACTCCTGTTGAGTTTGCACACTCTATTGCTAGTTCTTGATTGCTAAACTTATGGATTTTATGAGTGTTCCAAAGACCCATCAAAGGCATTTGTAAAGCAGAGATTCAATTGTAAAAAACATAGCTAATATGAAAATAAAAGAAAGGAAGATTAGTCCACAGGATATTTACTTACAGCTTGTTCATTTCTCATTCCTACATATTTTATCCCAATTGCTTGGACTGCAATTGCAATTTCAGTCACTGGAATACCAACAATGCCAAACATATATTCAATGTTCTGAAATAAGCGTGTAAAAAAATCAAAATTAATTTCAAAATTGATGCACCATAATCAGATCTATAAAGTTGCTTCTGTGTAATATGCCTATCTTAAATCCTAATAAAGTGCATAATCACATAAAAGCAAAATAGGAGTACAATCATAGCAGGGAAAGATAGGCATCATTCTGTCAGAATTGGCAACCCTAAAGCCCAAATGAGAAGTAGAGAAATGCCAATATTTTCAGCTACAAGTATCATAAATAATAGAATCGGAAAGGACTTTGAGAGGTCATTAAGAGATCTAATTAAGCTGACCAAAGTCTCAGTGGGGTAGCTGAGTTAGCCTGTAACTTTAAAAACAATCAGTAACTTAGAGAAAGTTCATGAAACTATTTATCTATCTTTTTGTTAGTCTGTAGGACTACTCATTTTTTAATCTGACCAAAGTGACAGAAAGCATACCTAAGTGGTCATACACTGGACTGAACTACTGCAACCCGTGGGCAAGCTGCTCAATGTTACCCCGATTTTCTCAATGGCTGTGTCTAGACTGGCCAGTTTTTCCGGAAAATCAGCCGCTTTTCCAGAAAAACTTGCCAGCTGTCTACACTGGCTGCTTGAATTTCCGCAAAAGCACTGACTTCCTACTGTAAGAAATCAGTGCTTTTTGTGGAAATACTATGCTGCTCCTGTTCGGGCAAAAGTGTAGACATCTGAGATTTGTTTTGCGCAAAAAAAGACCCGATCGCGAAAATGGCGATTCCCCAATCGCAAAAATGGCGATCGGGGCTTTTTTGCGGAAAAGTGCGTCTAGATTGGCCACGGACGCTTTTCCGCAAAAAGTGCTTTTTGGAAAAGCGTCCGTGCCAATCTAGACGCTCTTTTCCGAAAATGCTTTTAGCAGAAAACTTTTCCATTAAAAGCATTTCCGGAAAATCATGCCAGTCTAGACGTAGCCAATGGGTATTTTCCTCCCACCCTTTGACTGCTGATCTCTTTCGACTGCGAAGAGCGCTGGGGCTGGTCTGCTTGTGCCTCACTGCAGCGCTGCCACCATCTAACCCCCTCCCTTGGCTGTCTACCACTGCAGCCGCTGGATGCCTGCGTGCCCGGCCCATGCACCAAGGCGAGGCTACAGATTTTCTGTTCGTGCGACGGGGCGCCCAGGGAACTGCATTGCCACCTTTCCAGCCGGGCTCCTGCCGCCTGGGAGCCTAGGCGGCGGCTCTACACACGTGCCTCCTACAGGGGCCACCCTGCATCTCCCAGGTCCCAGCGCTGAACGCGAGCCCCTGAACCACTCGGCGTGACCCTTCCCGCTCCCCGTAGGGGACTTATTTCGCTACCGGAGGTCAAGGGTCACCGGAGCGCTCTTACTTGTGTTTTTAGAGCCTCGGCGATGAGCTGGGCCCCGCTGACATATTCGTCCTCAGTCACTGTGCGGGAAGCCATCGCCGTTCGCCCGCTCGCTCAGCAGCGGGCATTTCCCCCCCCCCTCCCCTCCCCTCCCCAGCGAGAGGAGCGCTCTGCAGTTTTCAACCAATCAGCAACGGCTTTTCCTGTGATTGACACTTCCTGCACCCGCCCAGTGAGACGGCTAAAGTAAGCCGGACGCGCCCTCTGGGCGGGGTCTATGGGCTGGCTGGGGAAAGCTCCGCTCTGTGGGCGAGGCGGAGGGATGAGACAGAGGCTGTCGATTGGATCGCTGCCGTATCGGAGCTGGCCAATCAGAGGCAGGGGAGCGCTTGCCGTTAGCTGCGAGCGAAGGGAACGGACGGGACCTCCCCCCACCCCCCCCTTGTGGCGCGCGGAGGGCCAGTGGAAGTCACAGGCGCGTGCGTGAGGATGGTCGGCGCGTGGGGTTGCGCAGCAGCCGGGAGAGGGCGGGTTCTAGGGGGAGGCTGGTGCCTGGTGACAGACCAGCCCTGAGCGCCCGCGGGCCCCGCGCTGCCTCACTGGTCGCAGCCGGGAGCAGGGGCCGCGTCTGCGGCTGGACTTGGGGGGCCGCGCTGAGAATGAGCCCGAGGCTCGCGCTGCAGTAGGCGAGAGGCCGGGGCACGAGGCTCGCGGGGTTCCTAGTGCGAGGCCAAGCCCGCGGATCCAGGCTCTGCGTGCCCCTGCGGCCTGCGTGCGTGACTGGCAAGCTGGGCTTCGGCCCCTCTGTGAGCCCGAGCCCCCCTCTCCTCTACATACTAATTAAGCTGGTTCGGTTAAGGACGCCCTCCGGCCGGGCCCCAGCACTCCATGAGCGAAGCCAGATGCCTGACCCTACTGCCTGTGGAAAGGTGGGGATCGCACTAGCACGAGCTGTCTTCGCTTTCAGCCTCGTGCCTCTGCTGGCTCCAGCGGAGACAGGGTCACATTTCTGCTTGCAGCTGTAGCAGCCAAACCCCAAGACTCACATCCAGGAGCAACGGAGTAGGAGGGGCTGTTCTTTGCATACACCTCCGCCGTTACCGCCCTGGAGGCTGTGGCTGCAAAAAAAATCCCTGGGGTAGTGCTCATCTGGCCATGGTGGCAGTAGTAGGGAAATGCACCTTTCGGACCATATAGACAAGCCTACTTTATCTCAACTCAAGTCTCCGGTAAAGTATTCTAGCACACACTTGCATCTAATCTCAGATTCTAATTCTACACTGCAGGGCTTGACTCGAAATAAGTTACACAAATTGAGCTACATCAATAGCACATCTTATTTCGATATAGGGAGTATCTACACAGCTCTTATTTCAAAATAGAGCACTCTTCCTCAGACTTCCCTTACTCCTCATACAATGAGGGTTACAGGAGTTAGAGTAAGAAGTCCTCCAACTTGACAATATTTTGACATTACTCTGAAATTACTTGTCTGCTATACACTTTTCACACACACCCCTTGCTGCCTCTATCAGGGGCAGCAAAGGGGGTGTGGAGTAGGAGCTGGTGCTTGTGAGGACCTAGCTTAAAATCTGGCTCCCCTTAAACCTCCCTCCCCCCAGGGGTGATAGGCTAGAACTGATACATACAAAAGCTGGGTTTCAAGCCAGTTGTCCACATGCATCAGCTGCATGGACCTGCCTGTCCCACCAGCTTGCTACCTTCTACAGAGGCGGGGGGGGGGGGGGGGGG